GAGGGCCCCAGTTCGGATCCCACATATGAGGGCCAGTGATACTGCCCTCTACAGCTAAGATGCTGAACAACAGCTCAACCTGGAGCTGGGCTGCCTAGAGTCACCGGCGACAGCATAGGCTGCAGCCCCTGCTGCAGTGGGTTGCCATGGGCTACTATGTGTAGCCAGCAGCTCACAGCCACTGTGAGCGGCCGTCCAGAAGCCGGCGACTGATCTGTCTCGCCCAGGAAGAGCGCAATGATGGTGCCAACTTGGGCCAGTGAAGCAACGTCCTCCACTACTAGACTGAAGAACATAAAGGACAGCAATTTGTCTGTTCCCCTTCCCCCAATTCCCCAATTAAAAAATTTTTTAAAAATTAAAAATACAAATGAAAATATGGATACTAAATGTATGTGTCTAGTTATAAGGTGCTTTTACAGATTATAGTATGATACATTTATTTTACATTTTAACTGAAATTAAAACAATTTAAAATTTCATAGAGACTTTGTAAATTCTAAGCATATGTCTGAGAAACCCCTGAGGTTTGGTAAAGAGACTTTTTTGCAACCAGGTCAAAAACCCCATATCCTTATAGACCATCCCTGAAATATTGTATAAGAAACAGATAACAGTAGCTGCCTCTGGGGAGGTTGACTTATTTTTAATGTATTCATATACCATTTTGTATTGTTTGAATTCTTTACCATGTGTTACCACCTCTTGCAATAAAATACTAAGTAAGGGATAGGGAACAGCACCTTTGTAGTGGTTTGGAAATACTTTTGTTATCCAGAACTTACCAATTTTAAATGGGCATCTTAAGAAGGGAAGCAATAAACAGCACAAAGCAATTGATGCACCTCAAAGACGGGTGTGCAGTGAATCGCAGGCATCAATGATTTTTGTCTGGCTCCTTTCCTGCAGGTGTCACAGGACTTCCCATTTCTCCATCCCAGTGAAACCAGTGTCCTGAATCGACTCTGTCGGCTTGGCACAGACTATATTCGCTTCACCGAGTTCATTGAACAGTACACAGGCCATGTGCAGCCACAGGTAGGTTCCTGTTCTCAGGAATGTACACTTCCAGACGGCAAGGAGCTATGTCAAGCTTTCCGTGAATCCACTGGTAATTCGTGTGAAATAAGCCACAAGAAGTTTTGAGTTTCTCATCACTGGAATTTTTCAAGTGAAGGCCAGGTAACACAAGGGGAAAATTCTCACACAAGGTGAAAATACACACAGAGAACTAATTTAGGCAGATTGGTGTAAGAAAATATGCTTCGCCTGAGTTTTAGGAGACGTGAATTAAATTAGTTTGAGCTGGGTCAGAGTTCCATTTCTAGAGGTGAAAACATAAAGCATTATCTCTGATTTTTTGCTGTTCTACTAACTACCTTAGTCCCACTGAGGCAAAAACCTACCTGAAATCTTT